TGTCTGCTGCTGCATCTGCTGCTGCTGCTTCTGTTGCTGCAGCTTCTTCTGCTGCGGCTGCTGCTGTCTCGGCAACTTCGGCGTCTGCTGCTTCTGCTGCTCCTGCGTCTGCTGCTGCTGCTTCTGCTGCTGCTGCGTCTGCTGCTGCTGCGTCTGCTGCTGCTTCTGCCTCTCTTGCTGCGTCTGCTGCTACGCCTGATACAGCATCAGCAAATTGTTCTCCTAGTGCTGCTGCTGCTGCTGCTGCTTCTGCTGCTGCTGCTGCTGGAGCTGCTGCCTCTGTTCCTGCGCGTGCTGCTGCTGCTGCATCTGCTGCTGCGTCTGCGTCTGCTGCTGCTGCTGCGTCTGCAACTGGTGCTGCTGCTGCGTATGTTGCTGGGTCTGCTGCTTGGTGTACAACTGCTGCTGCTTCTGCGCCTGTTGCTGCGGGAGCTGGTGCATTAGCAGTGTCTGTGTCTGCTGCTGTGTCTGCTGCTGCTGCTGCTGCTGCTGCTGCCCCTTGAGCCGCCACAGCTGCTGCGTCTGCTGCTCCTGCGTCTGTTGCTGCTGCGTCTGCTGCTGCTGCGTCTGTTGCTGCTGCGTCTGCTGCTGCTGCGTCTGCTGCTGCTGCGTCTGCTGCTGCTGCGTCTGCTGCTGCTGCGTCTGCTGCTGCACCATCTGCTGCATCTGCTGCTGCATCAGCAGCTTCTGCGGTTGCTGCCGCATCTGCTGCTGCTTCTGCTACTGCATCAGCAGCCGCAGCAGCTGCTGCTGCGTCTGCTGCTGCTGCTGCTGCTGCTGCTGCTGCGTCTGCGTCTGCTGCTGCTGCTGCGCCTGCCTCTGTTACTGTGCTTGCTATTGCATCTTCTTCTGCATCTGCAGCAGCGGCTGCTGCTGCTGCCTCTCCTGCTGCATCGACTGGTGCATCTGCTGCTGCTGCTGCTGCTACTCCTGCATCAGGAGCTGCTGCGACTGCTGCTGTATCTGCTGCTGCTGCATCTGCTGTTGCGTCTGCTGCTGCGTCTCCTGCTGCTTGAGGAGCTGCTGCGGCTGCTGCTGTGTCTGCTGCTGTATCTGATACTGCTTCTGCTGCTGCTTCTGCTGCTGCTTCTGCTGCTGCTTCTGCTGCTGCTTCTGCTGCTGCTTCTGCTGCTGCTTCTGCATGCGGGGCAGCAGCTACTGGGCCTGAGGCTGCGTCAAGAGATGCTATCGCAGCTGCTGCTTGTGCTGCTGCTGCCGTTGTTGCTGCTTCTGCTGCTGCTGCACCTGCTGTTGCGTCTGCTGCTGCCTGAGCAGCTGCTTCTTCTGCTGCTGCGTCTGCTGGTGCGCCTGCTGCTGCTTCTGCTGCTGCTTCGGCTGCGGTATCAGCAGCTGCTGCGTCTGCGTCCGCTGCTGCTTTTGCTGCTGCTGCTGCGTCTGCTGCTGCGCCTGCTGCTGCGTCTGCTGCTGCGGGAGCTGCAGCAGCAGCTCCCGCATCAGTGTCTGCATGCGTTTCTGCTGCTGGCTCGATTGTTGTTGCTGCTGCTGCAGCTTCTGCTGCTGCTTCTGCTGCTGCTTCGGTTGCTGCATCAGCAGCTGTTGCCACCGCCGCTGCTTCATCAGCTGCTGCTGCTGCTGCTGCGTCTGCTGCTGCTGCTGCTGCGTCTGCTGCTGCTGCTGCTGCTTGGTCAGCAGCTGCTGCATCTGCTGCTGCCTCTCCTGATGCTTCTGCTTCTGTGGCAGCTGCTGCGTCTGTTACTGCATCAGCAGCTTTTGCTGCTGCGGCTGTATATGTTGCTGCGTCTGCTGCTGCATCTGCTGCTCTATATGCTGCCGCCTCTGCTGCTGCGTCTGCTGCTGTTGCTGCAGCTTCTGCTGCTGCTTCTGCTGCTGTTGCTGCGTCTGTTATTGCGTCTGCTGCTGCGTCTGTTGCTGGTTGTGCTGCTGCTTCTGCTTCTGCGTCGGCTGCTGCTGCTGCATCTGCTGCAGCATCCGCGACTGCTGCTGCTGCTGCATCTTCTGCTGCCTTTGCTGCTGACTCTGCTGCGGTGAGAGCTGCTGCATCAGCAGTTTCTGTGTCTGTTGCTGCTGCTGCTGCTGGTGCTGTGGGAGCTACTGTGTCTGGTTCTGCTGCGGCTGCTGCTGCGTCTGCTGCTGCTTCTGCTGCTGCGTCTGCTGCTGCGTCTGCTGCTGCGTCTGCTGCTGCGACTGTTTCCACAGCAGCTACTGCATCTGCTGCTGCTGCATCTGCTGCTGCTGCGTCTGCTGCGTCTGCTGCTGCTGCTGCTGCTGCTGCTGCTCCGGCTGTGGCTGCTGCTGCTACGCCAGTTACTAGTTCAGCAGTTGCTGCGTCTGCTGCTGCTGCTGCCTGGGTTGCTTCGTCTGCTGCTGCGTCTGCTGCTGGATAAGCAGCCCCCGCGTCTGCTGCATCTGCTGCTGCTGTATCCGTTGCTGCTGCGTCTCCTGCTGCTGTCTCAGTTGCTGCTGCGCCAGCTGCTGTGTCTGCTGCTGCACCAGCAGCCTCTGGGTCTGCTGCTGCATCTGTTGCTACGTCTGCTGCTGCTGCTGCTGCTGCGTCTGCTGCTGTATCTGCTGCTGTGTCTGCTGCTGCTGCTGCTTCTGCTGCTGCTGC